GAGACAGAGTGGGGAACAGAAAAGGCGGATTGACAGAAACACACTGCTGAGGGGAGCAGCGGGCGAATCAGGAGAGGTCTGCTGTGCCATGTGGGCAGCTGCCTGCCCGGGGATCAAACTCGTGCTGCGGTGGCTGCGGATAGCTCAAAGGTTCACCTCTTAACAACTTGCGCCACCAGGGAGGCACCCTGATTTGTGATTAAAGAAATAATGAAACTGAACTGGTAACAACTGACAGAGATAGGAATGAAGGTTTTGTCAGACTCCACTGTGAGCTCATAGACTCTGGGAATTCCTGGCTCTACTCAGGCCACCTGACTCCTATCAACCCAGAATCAAGTTCAATATGGGTAAAACAAAAACAAAGGCTGCTGGCTTTTATTTAAAAAAGTTCTCTGCCATTCGGGACCTCCCCTGGTGGCTTAGTGGTTGAACACTGGGCTGCAAGGCTGCCCGCAACCTCTGCATCGCTGGTTCGTTCCCTGGCCACCGGCAAGGGTCCCACCAAAAAAAGTTCCCTGGCATTTGGAATGCCTATATTATGGAGCCCATGGGGGGCATGTAAAGGTTCCAGGCAGATGTAGCTTTCTGCTCTGTTGCAACAGGCTTTCCTTATCTCAAAGTTTCTTATAATTTAGGGCAATTGTTGTTAGGCAACAGAAGCAACAAATGAAGACAAATCGTTCATTCAATGATCCACCTGAGCTTTAAGTATATTAATTTATTTCACTTTATATTACAATACAGCAGTTCTTATTTTGATAGCGTTTTTCATATGCCTATAAAAATTTGAAAATGCCATACAAAAAAATTTTTTTAGAATGGTGAATACAAAGAAACAGGTTTTCATTATAAAGCCCAACGATACTTTAAAGACATTAAAACACAACCCACCTTCTTCTTTTCAAGACTTCTTTTTAGATATAATTTTGCTTGATTGTCACAGTCTGTAACTTTTTCTCTCTCAGGTTTTCTTTGTTATCAACAAAAACATGAGCATGAAAGGGGAAGGAAATGTTTGTTTTTGTGTACACATCTTCGATCATATCAGAGAGGAAAGAATCATGAACACCCACTGCTGACTGATTTTAAGAACTAAATCTTGATTTCAGTTTCTGCAGGGAAGATGAATAACATGAATAAAGAGAACTGTACACATGTTTCATAAATGTCAAGGGCCTAAGTTTGGTTCTTTTATTTAAAACTTCCTGGTTAAAGCCAACACCTTCCAATTATTAGAAGAGGCCTAGAAGGGATACAGATGAGCCTCTGTCCTGCCCCTACTCCCAAAGCTCCCTATCATCCCATTTGTCAACTGTTGGAAGCTGTGCAAAAAGACAAAATGCATACAGCATAACAAGTAGGCATTTATTTTTATTTTTTTTAAAGATTTATTTATTTATTTATACAAGCACTGGGTACAGTCAGAAGCAAAGGAGGGTGAGAGAATTCACCAGAGCCAGAGCAAGGAACAGAACAGGCAGACCGACGAAATACACTGCTGAGGGGAGCAGCGGGCACAGAGAAGTCTTCGTGCTATGTGGGACACTCGCTGAACCGGCACTGCAGAGGCTGCGGGCAGCTTTGCAGCCCATCTCTCAACCACTGCGCCACCAGGGGAGGCCCAACAAGTAGGCATTTAAATGACCTCCATCATGATACAGTCTTGACTATTTTGAAAGTGGCTTTTTAACAAAGATTTTTATTTTTTATGTCAACAAAGATTTTTTAAAAGCCATGGACATTTCAGACACTGAGTGGGGGTGGTTTAACCTGGTTATGGATTCTGGTAGATCTGGGTCCCAGCATGCCTACCTTCTCCCAGTGTGACCCAACCCTCTGTTTTCTCATTTATAGAATGAGGAATCCAATAGTAACTGACACTGGAATGGCAGCCAGCCTCAGTTCCCTTGGCCAATAAAAGGAAACAATTTCAGAAGGAAAGTAATTTAATTTATCTTTAAATTGAAGAGGGCAGCAGACTACTGTCTGAAAGACCACCTTCCTGCTCTTTGGCAGAATGTAGGGTATTTAATCTAGAGTTACAAGTGAACAGAAAGGGGGAACGGGCAAGGATCAGCATGTCTGTCCTTGAGACACAAGAATCTGGTGAATCTGATGTCAGCTTGCTTTCTCCATCATCTGGTGGTCAGCAATTTTGATGTTATCTTTGCAGCGAAGCTATTTTCCCTTGAAATGTAAAAAAGCAGCATTTATTAACCCTAGAGGGAAAATAAAGGAAATGGGAGAACTTATCTGGTGGGACAGAGAGAAGGCTTAGATGAAATGTGAAGCTCTGAGCACAAAGCCTGTCATGTAACAAAGACTTAGTAAATATGAGCTTTTTTTTTTTAGTTGTTGAGTCATATAGTAATTATTGTTGAATGAGTGATGAATTCATTAATGACTTTTAAGTATACTTTGCTTTGTTTTCTGCTCAGGCTTAGACTAGATACCAGTGATTCTTTGGCTGCATATTAGAGTCACCCACAGAGATTTATGCAGCTGCTTAGTTGAATCTGAGCCTCTGGGGGTGGTTCCTCGGTATCACATTTTTTAAAAGTTCTCCAGGTGATTCTAATGTGCAGCCAGCATTGAGAAGTCTGTGTCACACAGAATGAGGAAAGCACCCTGTTAAGAGCCAGAAATGCCAGGGTGGACAGGGCTTTACTTTTGCCCCACCCATATGGAAAAGAACGGAAAAACGACCAGGATAGCAGACATCCAGTCATCTTTGACCCTGATGTGGTCCCACACTTTGGCCTTACTTTTAGTTTGATTGACTCTTGTTCAAATCTAACCTCCTTTGTAGGCTTTCCCCAGACGAAGCCAAGAATCCCTTTGACCCCTCTATGGCATTTAACAGGGGAGTGGGTGCTCATCATTTCATGGTCACTCTGAGAACTAAAGATTGTCCAATCTTTAGATTCAAAGCTGCCAAGTCATTTCTCATCTTCATCATTCTAGGATCTTCATTCCTTTTGGTTCTATCTTCCTTAAGGTTTGTAGACCAACTCAAATACAGTTTTTACAGGAAGACCTAAAAACTGTTTACCAGCACTGGGCCTCCCGGTGGCGCAGCGGTTGAGCGCTGGGTTGTGAAGCTGCCCGCAGTCTCTGCAGTGCCGGTTCGATCCCCGGCTGCTCCCCAGCCACTGGAGGAGGGTCCCACATGGTGCGCAGACCTCTCTTGCCGGCCGCTGCTCCCCTCAGCAGTGTACTTCGGTCCTTCTGCCTGCTCTGCTCCCCGCTCTGGCTCTGGTGAATTCTCTCTCCCACGCTTCTGACTGTACCCAGTGCTTGTATAAATAAATAAAAAAATAAATCCTAAAAAAAAAAGCGCCATGTAGATATATAATATGAAGCCTTCACAATGTAGAGAGTATCTAAAATTATCTCTGATAGTTCATCCTTATTGATATTTTGACATTATTATTTTGTGCTACCTTTTTTTTTAAAGATTTATTTATTTATTTGTTTGTTTATTTATTTATATAAGCACTGGGTACAGTCAGAAGTGCCGGAGGGTGAGAGAATTCACCAGAGCGGGGAGCAGAGCAGGCAGAAGGACCGAAGTACACTGCTGAGGGGAGCAGCGGGCGGCAGGAGAGGTCTGTGCGCCATGTGGGACCCTCCTCCGGTGGCCGAGGAGCAGTCGGGGATTGAACAGCCCTGCAGAGGCTGCGGGCAGCTTCGCAACCCAGTGCTCAACCGCTGCGCCACTGGGGAGGCCCTGTGCTACCTTTTTAAAAAAAGATTTCTTTATGTATATAAGAACTGGGGTGCAGGCCATAGGTGTGGGGGGGATGAGAGGATTCATCAGAGACAGAGCGGGGAGCAGAACAGGTGGATCTACTGAAATACACTGCTGAGGGGAATAGCAGGTGAAACAGGAGAGGTCTGCCGCACCATATGGGTTATCTCCTTGGATGGGAATAGAACTCATGTTGCAGTGGCTGGCTATAGCTTGATAGTGCTGTGTCTTTAACCCTTGTGTCACCAGGGAGCCCCTATTTTGTGTTACTTTTAGAATATTCCATAAAGTCTTGCTGATTGACTTTTTTGTGGTTGTTTTTTTCCTTTAATATTCTTGGCTTAGCATTAATGCTCATCATTATGTAAATATGTTCAGCAATCTGGACAAAGTGGAAACCTGGAGTTTCAACCCAAATGTCATCAGTTGACATTAGCAACCAAATTCCTGCTTCAGTGACACTCGATTTTCCTCCTCTGTCTACGGCTACTCTTTCTTTTCTGCAAATGTTTCTAAAGCACATTGTATGTTCCAGGCACAATGTTCAATTATAGGAGAAGTGAAAAAGTCAGACAAGGTTTCTGCCCTTATGGAGCTTACAGTATAATGAAGGAGACAGAAAATAAGCCGCTAGACAGAGATTCTAGAGAGGGACAGGAACTATATGGAAAGCAGTGCAGTAAAGAGGTAGAGTGTGACTGGAAAATGGGTGATATGGTCAGGAAAGTCCTCTCTGAGACAGGGGAAAGGATGAATACATAGAGCATAGGTTTTCAGGGCAGTGAAAAAGACTTTATATGACACTGTAATGATAGATGCATGTTATTACTCATTTGTCAAAACCCACAGAATGTATAACACTAAGAGTGAACTTTAATGTTAACTGGGTCTTTGGGTGATTATATTATGTAAATATAAGTTAATCTGTTTAAACAAATGCACCATTCTGGTAGTGAATAATGATAATGGGATAGGCTATGCATGTGAGAAATCTCTGTATCTTCCTCTCAACTTTGTTGTGAACCTAAAACTGCTCTAAAAAATAAAGTCTTTAAAAAACCTTAAGAAATTAGAAAAAATAAAAGTGATCCAAAAACTTTTATACATAAATAGACACCAAATAAGAGATTTAATTAACAAAACAGAAACGAATGAGAAGGAGCCCTAGGGGCAGGATGGACACTGAGCAGGTTTTCTATGATCCAGCAGACCGGGTAAAGGAGAAGTCAGAGTCCTCAGTGGCTTTTGCAGGTGTTTTATTCAGATTACCAGGTACACGGCAGGCAGGGGCGCTGGGGGGCTGGGAGGCCTGCCAAGTCTTCACTCTGGGCTCTCCGACCTTCTCTCACATTCTCTCTGCTCTTCTCATGGCTCTGCTTCTCTCTTGGCTTCTGCTGGCATCCCTGTTATGCCGCCCTTAAGAGCCCAGTCTTAGCCCAGGTGAATCCCATCTACCTATGCCCACACCCTACTCCAGGTGCCCGCCATCAGGCATGCATTCAGGACCGCAGGGTTCCGTCATCTATCCTGATGGCGGGAGGGCAGAAAAGCCTGATACCTTTTACCTTACCCTACAGGAGCCAAGCTGAAGAGCTAGAGCAAAGGGAATTCCATAGAGGGTGCAGCAAATAAGAAGCCCATGCTGTGGGAAAGGAAATGTGTATTTTAGGAAAGGAAAGGAGGGCTCTGGGCTGCAGAGGGAAACTGAGTCTCCTGTTCTGGCTCCTCTTCCTTTTAATTGGTGGTCTTGGGCCTCTTTCTCTTCTTGCCCTATATTCTTCAGGTACAGATGACTCCCACGTTTCCAGCTTTACTCTGGGTCTTTCTGAGTTGAGATTTGGGTATAGTCTTGCTGTAGGATGTCTCCTCCTGGATGTTTGGTTAGAACAAAAACTAAGCATGACCAAAGATAATAGTTCTATGCATTCCTTTCCACCCCTGCTCCCACCTGCTTTATCTTCTATGGCTTTCTATCTGTATAAAAGGCACCACTAGTTCTACCACTAGTTCCTCCAAGATGTAGGATTCATTGTCCTTTTGCAGATCTCTCAGAGCTACAAGCTTTCCCTCATCCGATACACTTACACATTATACACTACCCTACACATAGTAAACCTAAAAGTGCCCCCAGACCTCTCTTCATCTAACAACTGTAACATTTAGCTGTGCATCCTTTATAGATTTATAACCGTTCATTCAACTGAGTTCTTTTCACCTGCCAGGCATAGTTATAGGTGCCAGAACCACAACAATGAACAGAAAAGAAAATTACCTGCTTTAATGAAGCTTACATTCTAATGGGGAAGACAGACGCTAAATAACTGTATTATGTATTAGGTGTTGACAAGTACTTTGAAGTACAGTAGGATAAAGAAATAAATTGCAAAGAGGAGGGGAGGGTGGTGGGTGCTGGTGTTACTTTACAAAGGGTGGTGGTTAGACTTGGACAAAGTAACATTTGAGCAGAGATCTGAATGAAGCAATAGAGTGAGCTAAAGTGCTATTTGGGAGAAGACTACTCCTAGTAGAGGGAACTGAACATCCCTGAGGCAAGAAAGTGCTTGAATATTCCTTGAATATCTAGGACCCTATTGGGGGATGGAGTGGAAAGATGGAAGGGAAAAGTCAAAGATGAATCTGAGGTTGATCTGGGTAAGATCACGTAGATTTTGCAACAGGGTGGTCCCTAGGAAAGGGGGAGTTTCCCTGCCCCACCCAAGGGAGGGTGGAGCTGAGCAGGAAGAGGAGAAGCTGGAGAAGAGACTGAGGAAGGAAGGAAGCAGGATGGAGCAAGGAGACCTGGAGGAGGCGCATGGAGCCTAGAGACACGTGAAGAAACCGCGCTTGTCTTTTGGTCGTGGACTGGGTGACACAGATGTGGGTGAGACCTGTGGGGAGGTGACAATGGCAGCTTTTATCTTGATGTTGATTTTGCTCTTTTCCTTCCGGGCTTGTCCGGTTGTTTGTGACCCTTTGCTGTGGGTCCCCACTGGAAGATGGTTTAGACTTGTAGCAGGCTTTGGGGCCTTGTTCTGGGCCGATCCCATATGGATGGACTTTTACCCACGAGGGGACGGGTAACTTTGGGTGCTTCATTTAGAAACTAGACTCTTTGCCTTACCTGTATTGTTTCCTAGTTTTATTAAAGTTCCTTCCCATTAAAGTCTCCTATGTTTTGTGTTGATGCGGCGGATGGCAGAACCCATTTAGAATAGGCAGGTTTGCGGGGTTTGGGCTGCCCCTCTCCCTGTCCTATAACAGATTTGGCGTCCAACGTGATTTAGGACAGATCCATCCGTGGTTAGTCAGCCCCATGGGGAAATTGGGCTTCCCTATGGCACTGGCTACCATAAGCGCAAATGTGATTTTTGGTTTCTCCGGTGTGTTTGTTTCATATGTCCATTTGCTGTTGAAAAACTGGCTTGGGCTTTGTGAAGATTCTGTGTGTTTGTGTGTAATTTGTTTGTAGTGACTTGCTAAGAGATTTTAATTTGTGGAAATTGTTCTGTGCCGGTTTTACTCAAAAGATTAGGCAGTACATCGGACCATGTGGCCAGATCAAAGATGGCGTCTGAGGCCACTTGGCGTGCTCTTGTAAAATTCAGAGGTTCTTGTTGCTAGGACTTTGGAACTTTTTTTTTCTTTCTTTTTGTAATCTCTGCTGTCTCATTAGCATTTCTAAAGGCAATAATGGTTCTTCAGTGGTATGTTGCTTTGTCTTTGGCTACTTCCTGCTCTTTGCCTGATGCATTTTGCCAGCCAATTGTGGAGCAGTGGTGTTTAAATTAGCAAATGTATGCCTGGGTGTTAAGGAAAGAGTAGCCTTAAGCAGTAACTGGTAATTGCTGGTAGCCTTGATGGATTCTTGGAGATAACTTGAATTTTTGCAAAGTCTGGATCAGAAAAATTAACAAGATTTTGTTTGAGTCTGAAAGGATTTGCTACTGTGAATTTTGTCTACACAATTTGTTTTGGGCATGTTTGCCATTTTGAATACTGGATTTGTTCAATTGCTGGTGTAAGACAAGATTCTAAGTTTCTGCTTCCTACTGAGGAAGGTCTGTTATGGAAAGCACTCTTTAGGGTGCATCATGTAACTGTACCAGGTTTTCATACCTGTGTTGTTGTTGTCCCTCCCTAGTGTGGGGAAGGTGTAATCTGTGCTTAGATGTTTAATCTGCTCTTTCAGCTTCTGTCCCAGAGTGGCTAACAGAAGTAAGGAGATGACTCCTTTTAATTGAAAGTTAATTACTGATAATTTGATTTTGCTTTTTCAGGTTCTATTCCAGGAAACCCAAGGAGTGCCTGCTTGGTGGCTAACAAGAGATGACTCCTTTTGCTTAAAAGTTAACTGTTACTTTTATTCTTTCAGTTGCTGTACAGAATACCCCAGGATTGACTTCTAATAAAAAGTCTTCAACACTGAAAACCCTAAGGTGATAAACAAGATCATGTAACTCTTGTGATTAATAAAACTTTTCCTTCCTATTTCCAAAGTCTTAGGTTTGTAGGATGACAACTGGAAATTTTTCTGCCAGCAACACTCCACATTTTTTTTGGACTTTGACGTTTTTTTTTCTGAGCCTATGGAGTAAAACTGCAGTTACATAACATATTCTACGTGGCATAACTAAAAAAAAAAACTGTCTTTGTGTCTATATGTTGTATGTCTGTATGTCCTTTCCTTGTGTCCTTGTCTTGACCTCCAGTGATTGACAAATTGGTATACATGGTGCCCATAGACGTGAAAAAAAAAAAGAGTCTCCAGTTATGAGAAAAACTAAAGGTTATGGTTTCATTGTCAACATTGTGCTACTGAACTAAGCCGGTGCCTTCATAGAGATTGAACATTGTTGTTTCTGTTATTTTTCTGATATTTATGGCAAAGCTTCCCAGAAATCTAAATTCAAGTACAAATTTGGTAGCCTGTCATTTGGCTGATGCAAGGAAATTTTGTGGAACCTCTGTAGAGCTCCTGAGACACTCCACAAAGTTTCTCCCTTTCCTCCTGGGAAAGGCATTAGATGAATTTGTTCTATTTGGCTTTTACCTAATGAAGTAAAACTAGAAGGGAAGCATTGTCACTTGGGAAAACGGGTAATAACACCTTGACCTGATATGGATGTAAATTGTCAATGATGATTGTCACCTTGTAATATTGTATACTTCAATTGTTTAATATCTACAGGAATTGTTTCTGAAAATATAGGGAGAAAAGGTCTCAACAGATTCCTATTGATGGAACTGTTGAGAGTAAAACTTTTCTACTAAGGACTGAATAGACTTGGAAATACACCTCATATTTACTAAGTTTTCCTTGACATAATACTCATGATTTTTTTGCATTTTGTTCTAAATCCACAAAGTTTTCTTGTTTTGGTGACCAGGATCTGCAGCAAGGTTGTAATTTTTTTTCCCAACAAAGCTAACTTGTGTTTGCGTTTTCTCTCCCCTTGATACCAACACAGCATAAAAATAGTGGTAGTAATCTTTTACTACTTATCTCAGAGTCTGTTTTTGCATAACTTCCATAGGGATTTTGTTTAAACTGAAAAAAAATTGGACATAAGTTTCATTGTGTGGCTTTGTGTGGAGCTCTTCCAGAAAGTTGAAACAGAGCTGAACCAAGAAGAGGAGAACCTGTTTGCCTTGTTTGTAGGGTTCCAGAGACCTCCAAAGAAGGTGAGGAAGCTTGCCTCCATTGGCAGGACTGGACAACCCGGCCAACGAAAAGTCCCTGGTACCCTCAAGAAGAGGAAAGCCCAGGTGGAGTCTGATGAGACCAACTTTGTACCTGAAGCCTGCATCGACCGGATGCCAACGGTTCGCTCTGATCCTATATGGAGTATTTCAACAAAGCCAGCTAGAAATTGCTGTTGGTTGTTTCTGCCCTGTGATTTTATGCAAAAATGGGAAAAATGGTTTAAAGGTAGATTTAATTTGCAAACTTTTGCTATGCTGTTAAAGTTTGGGATCAAGGTTGAGAGAATTCGTTTTTGCATAAGTTGAACCATTTTAACATTTTTTCCCTGTGATTTTGATATATTTGCTATCTTGTTTTAGCCAATGCTCCAAATTTTTTTTCTTTTGGCTTGGATAATGGATTATTTTTAAGTAATGAAACTGTCATACTGGACATTCATGGACAATGCTGCTGACTAATTGCTGCTTCTCTTACACACATTGTAACCCTGAAAAAAGACTGTCTCCTAAGAATACACCATGACATCTGTGCCACCATAGATATGGTGGAATAAAAATTAAAAGGGGGGATTGCAACAGGGTGGTCCCCAGGAAAGGGGGAGTTTCCCTGCCCCACCCAAGGGAGGGTGGAGCTGAGCAGGAAGAGGAGAAGCTGGAGAAGAGACTGAGGAAGGAAGGAAGCAGGATGGAGCAAGGAGACCTGGAGGAGGCGCATGGAGCCTAGAGACACGTGAAGAAACTGCGCTTGTCTTTTGGTCGTGGACTGGGTGACACAGATGTGGGTGAGACCCGTGGGGAGGTGACAATGGCAGCTTTTATCTTGATGTTGATTTTGCTCTTTTCCTTCCGGGCTTGTCCGGTTGTTTGTGACCCTTTGCTGTGGGTCCCCACTGGAAGATGGTTTAGACTTGTAGCAGGCTTTGGGGCCTTGTTCTGGGCCGATCCCATATGGATGGACTTTTACCCACGAGGGGACGGGTAACTTTGGGTGCTTCATTTAGAAACTAGACTCTTTGCCTTACCTGTATTGTTTCCTAGTTTTATTAAAGTTCCTTCCCATTAAAGTCTCCTATGTTTTGTGTTGATGCGGCGGATGGCAGAACCCATTTAGAATAGGCAGGTTTGCGGGGTTTGGGCTGCCCCTCTCCCTGTCCTATAACAATTTTACTCAGAATGAGATGGGAAGCACTGGAGAAGTCTGAGCAGATACTTTTCAGATGGCTCATGAGTTGCTATGAGCAAAGACCATTAAAAGGAATATGTATGTATACATTGTTCAAACATAAATGGGATATTATGTGCATTGCTTTACAATCTTTTTTCCAAAGTGAACTTTTATAAAAAGCAAAATATGACCAAGTTATCTCTTTGCTAAAAAATCCTTTGTAGCTCCCATCTCCCACACCTTCCCTAAAGCACTCTGCAGTCTGGCCTTTGCCTACCTTACCACCAAAACATAGAACTTCTTTTCCTGGAATGAGATGCAGGGCCTTCAAATTTGCTTGTTCCTTGGTCTAGATTAAAACTCTTTCCTTCTGTCCCTGTCCACCTCGTTCAACATATTTTCTAGATCCCATTTATTCATTTTTTCATTAATTTAATATTTACTGAGAGACCCACTATGTGTCCTGCTCTATTCTATGCAGCAGGGCACTGTGCAAAATAGACAAATGTTGTAGCCCTCTTGGGGTTTCAATTCTAGTGGGAAAATTCTAGACAGGAGAAGATGGGAAGTTGGAAAAAAAATAAAAAACAAGGACTATTGTCAGAAGGTGATACACCCATGGAGAAAAATAAAGCAAGGAATGAGGGCTGGAATGTGGGGGCAGTGTTTACAGCTTTAGATAGGATGACCAAGAGGAAGCTTCACTGAGACAGTAGAAGCTGTGCAAAGACCTGGGGGAGGTGAGGGAGTGAGTCAGGCAGCTATTCACAGGAGAGCATTCCAAGCAGAAAGCAAAGGCCCTAAGGCGAGAGCCTGCCTGGAGTATTCCAGAAATAGTAAAGAGGCCAGTGTGTCAGAGTAGTGTGTGGGGGCAGGTGAGCTCTGGAGGCCCTTATAAGGACCTTACCTTTTCTCTGAGAGAGAAGCAGTTGGAGGGTTCTGGGCAGAGTAGGAGTAACATGTTCCTACTTTTGACTTTTTTTTTTTTAAGTTATACACAGTTTATTTTTTTTTTATTCATATTTTTCCATATATCTCTCAAGAACTAATTGAGAACATTGCTATTGTTTTTTTTAATAATAAATTTTATTTTTATATTCCCCATACAATTGCAACCCCCCCATTTTGATCCCAATCCCTCCCCTTCCGCCCCCCACCCCCCAAAAAGTGTCTCTGGTTCATAGTTTTTCGTTGATTTTGATTTTCACTTTCTTAGTTATTCATTTTCCTGGTCCCTTGTTTAAGTTTTCTAGATTCCGGCTATGAGTGAGACCATCCGGTATTTTTCTTTTTCTTTCTGGCTTATTTCGCTGAGCATGATCCCTTCCAGTGCCATCCATGTTGCTGCAAATTGCATGTGTTTATCTTTTTTGACTGCTGAGTAATATTCCATGGTGTATATGTACCACATCTTCTTGATCCAGTCATCTATTTTTGGGCATTTGGGCTGTTTCCAAAGCTTAGCTATTGTAAACAGTGCTGCTATAAACATAGGGGTGCAGGTGTTCTTTGGAATTGATGTTTCTGTGTCCTTTGGGTAAATACCTAGGAGTGGAATTGCTGGATCATATGGAAGCTCTATGTTTAGTAGGTCCAGAAATCTCCACACAGCTCTCCATAGTGGTTGGACCAGTTTGCACTCCCACCAGCAGTGCAGGAGAGTTCCTTTTTCTCCACACCCTCGCCAACATTTGTTGTTGCTAGTTTTTTTAATATGTGCCATTCTCACTGGTGTAAGATGGTATCTCCTACTTTTGACTTTTATTTATTTATTTTTTTTTAAAGATTTATTATTTATTTGTTTGTTTGTTTATACATGCAAGCACTGGGTACAGTCAGAAGTGCGGGAAGGTGAGAGAATTCAACAGAGCCAGAGCGGGGAGCAGAGCAGGCAGAAGGACCGAAGTACACTGCTGAGGGGAGCAGTGGGCGGCAGGAGAGGTCTGCGTGCCATGTGGGACCCTCCTTTGGTGGCCGGGGAGCAGCCGGGGATTGAACTGGTGCTGCAGAAGCTGCGAGCAGCTTGGCAACCCAGCGCTCAACCGCTGCGCCACCGGGGAGGCCCCTACTTTTGACTTTTAATAGCAATATTCTGTCTCCTGAACTGAAACTAGATAGAGGAGGGGAGATCAAAAGTGGGGAGACCAGTGAGGTGGCTCCTGTGAAATTCAAGCTAAGGGATGATGATAGCTTGCCTCAGGATGGTTAACAGTAGAGATGGTTTAAAAAGTTGGTGTATTTTCCTGAGGGGAGAAATGAAAAATTGTACAAAAATGAACAACGATGTAAGAAAATAAAAAAGGTTTAATTAAGAAAAAAAAGATGACGAAGAATAAAAGAAAGTTGGTGCATTCTGAATATATTTGAAGGGGGAGGCACAGCATTCCCTGAAGACTCAGATAGGAAATATGAGAAAGAGAATAGTCAAAGATGGCTCCAAAGCCTGTGGCCTAACTATCTGGAAGAATGGAGCGGACATTTAATAAAATAAGAAAACTGTGGGGTCAGTAATTTGTTTTTTTGTTTTTGTTTTTTGTGGGCCCCTCACCGGTGGCCGGGGAACAAACCAGTGCTGCAGAGGCTGCAGGCAGCCTCGCAGCCCAATGCTCAATCACTGAGCCACCGGGGAGGCCCAGGGATCAGTAATTTGGACAGAGGAATCAGGAAATCCAGTTTGGGGCACATACATATGAAGTGTGAAAGGACCAGTGGATATTGCTACTGGATAAACAAGTGGATGTATCACACAGGGAGCAGGATGTGGGGGGTTAGAATTCAGGGCAAAGGTTCAAGTTGAGATAGAAATCTGGAGTTGTCAGCATTTTAAAGCCAAAAGACTGGATGAGCTCACCAAAGGATGGATGGCAGACACCAAAAGAGGTCCAGCATGGAGCCTTGGGACACTCTAATAGTGAGCCTTAAATTTACTGATCTCAGGATTCTTTTACATGCTTAATAATTGTAACGGCAGGAGGACACAGGACAGGTTTTCTATGAATCTATGCAGATGGGGTAAAGGAGAAGTGAGTCCTGGAGTCCTCAGTGGCTTTTCAGGATTTTATTGGGATTTACCAGGTACACGGCAGGCAGGAGTGCTGGGGGGCTGGGAGGATGGCAGGCCTCCCAGCCCCCAGCAAGTATTCATTCTTTCTGGGCTTTCTGGCATTCTCTCATGGTTCTTTTCTGTTTCGGCTTCTCTGTTTCTCTCTGCTTCTACTCGTGATTCTTCTTTTGTTCTGCTTCTGCTGGCGTCTCTGTGACACTGCCCTTAGAAACCCAGTCTTAGCCCAGGTGAATCCCATCTACCTATGCCCACACCCTACTCCAGGTGCCCGCCATCAGGTATGCATTCAGGACCACAGGTACCGTCATCTATTCTAATGGCAGGAGGGCAGAAAAGCCTGATACTTTTTACCTTACCCTACAATAATATTTGAGCATCTCAAAGAGCTTTTGTTTGAGTTTTATCTATCAATGTTTACTATACTATTACATGTTATGCTAAATAACACTTTAAAGAAAAAAATGTTTTCCAAAACAAAAGAAAATTCAGGAGGGAGAAGTGTCATTTGGCATTTTTGCAAGGCTCTATTGATATATCTAAAAAATAGCTTACTAAAGTTAGATCCTCATATCTGCTTGTGTTCCATGTAATACCACATCATACATCATGTAGCCTGTGGAACAACAAGAGAGAATGGAAGTGAAAAAGGCAAATGTTATTTTAGTATTATTCTAAAAATAATTTCCTGAAAAGATCTTAGGAGTCTTCAGACTGCACTTTACTACCATGTGGAGGTTGGGAAGTTTAGAAGGACTCATTAAAGGAGACTGGGTAATTACAGTCAGGGAGGTTGGAGGACAATCAGAAGAACCTGGTGCCGTGAAGAGCACCACGAAAGCTGTTCTGGTGGAGAGGTGAGTGCTGACAGGGTAGTCACTTCCTCAGGTCACTGAACTCCACACTGGCTTAATTTCCCCCCAAATCTACTTGTGTTGCTCCCCTATGTTCACACTTGACCTTTTTTTATAGTTTACTTTTTAAAAATTTTACATTTTAAAAGGAGAGGGTTATTAGGAAAAGGAGAAAGAAAAAGAAAAGCACCTGATAGTCACAGGTGGGCAGGAGAGCTGCTGCTGCTTTGCAAAGGGAAAAGAATTGTGAAAAGAAACACTGCGTGGTCATAGGCAGGTAGGAGGGCTGCCTATAGTTTACTTGTTTTAATACTTGTCCTTTCCATTACATTTAAGTTGAGAGAGAACAGGGATCAACTCAATTTTAAAGATTTTTTAAAATTTATGCATACAAGAGCTGGGGTGCAGGCCAGAGGTGCAGGTGAGAGGATTCACCAGAGACAGAGTGGGGAACAGAACAGGCAGATCTACTGAAATACACTGCTGAGGGGAGTAGGGTAAGACAGGAGAGGTCTGCTGTGCCATGTGTGTCACCTCCTTGGCCAGGGATTGCTTTGTAGTGTTGATGCTTAACCCCTAGTGCCACTAGGGAGGCCCCCTAAGTCAATTTTATTCACTGGTGCTTCTCTAGCATGTAACGAGTGCCTGGCACATAGGGAATGCTCAAAACTTTCCCAATAAGCTTTTCAGGATTTCTCAAAAGTCAGTCACAGCCTTTTTGCAGTGTCCTTACAAATGCAGAAGGGGCAGAGCCCTCATGACTAAATCATCTCCCAAAGGCTTCATTCCCAATCATCATCTTGGGCATTAGGTTTTCAACATACGAATCTTGGGGGAATAAACACTCCATCCATAGTAGGGCTCCATGCTTAGAAAGACCCTATGCTTGGTTTTATGTCCCCTGTTGCTGTCTTCAAATTGTTAATTTCTGAACAAGGGATGTCACAAATTAAGTAGCTGTTTGTGAGTGCTGGATATGTAGTTAATGAGCTCTTTTAGCTCTGACTCTTATTAGCTCAAATAACTATTTGACTTTTTTTTTTAAAGATTTATTTTTATGCAAGAACCGGGGTACAGGCCAGATGTGCAGGAGGGTGAGAGGATTCACCAGAGACAGAGTGGGCAACAGAACAGGCAGACTGACTGAAATACACTGCTGAGGGGAGCAGTGGACAAGACAGGCGAGGTCTGCTGTGCCATGTGGGTATCTCTGCGGCCTGCTAGGATTGAACCCGCACTGGCACTGCAGAGGCTGTGGGACAGCTTCACAGCGCTGCGCTCAACTGCCTGCGCCACCAGGGAGGCCCAACTGTTATGTTTTGAGGTAGCCAAGTGAGGTGAGGGGAAGTCATGGCCACTCCAGACAGGTAGGACTATAGAAGCAAAAACCCTGAAGCCAGAAACATAATGGGATAGAGTAGGACAACAATGATCTTGCTAAAGTTTCTTTCTCTTCAAAGGGTTCTCTCCCTTCAGGGTCCTATTCCTTTTGTAACACTTCTTTAACACAAATCCACATAACTTGGACTCACAATGGGCACATTCACCTACAGATATCCCCTGGGCACTGCCTGGGGAATGAGCACTGTGCCAGGAGCTGTAGGGGATAGAGCTCCAGTCTTCCAGAAGTTTACATTTCCCAAGGGGAGGAGAAGACCTGAGTAGTAAATGATAAATACTTTGAGGGCGCCACCCTGCTCTGAGCTCGGCACCAAGGCGGCAGGGGCTACTCTTGTATTATTTCGGATTTACAGGCCACAACTGAAATCAGCCTTTTTCTTCATCCCCTGATGTGGGAGAAATAACCACTAGAAATAACCAGTAGAAAAAATCATTAGCGTTTCCTTTACCAGGCTGATAACATGTCATACTTTTCGTTTCGTAGTTTTTTATTCTTTGGAAGATAAGGGAGAGGGGATGGGAATAAAATTCCCCAAATGGTCAGAAGGATAGGGATGGAAGCCAAGTCCTTCAAACGTGTGTGTGTGTGTAAGGGGGTGAATCTCAGGAGGAGGCACAGCAGTAACTTGCCTCTAGTTCCCCATCGGGAGAGCTCTCAGTTTCCCCAGCAAGCGAGGGGCCTGGCTCGCTGATTTCCAGGAGCGCCCCCGCGCCACACACGAGGCCCCGAAAGTCGAAGGCTCCTTCCTCCGTGGCTCCCGCCGCCAGCCACGTCTGTCCCGTACAGCCCGCGGGCCGGCCGCGAGCGCTCCCGGCGACTCGGGGACAGCGGTGGCGCCGCTCGACGGAGCGCGCCCCGGACTCGCCGTCCCCGCGCCACGTCCCTGGGGGTGGGGCCAGCGCGGGCCGCGCCCCGAGACTCACCTGTGTGCGGCTCGGTGACTCACCTGCCCTCCCCCGCTCGCGGGCTGTTCCAGGGAGTCACCTCTCCCCCTCCCTCCGCTTAGGCACCTACTAAGCGCCTGGGATGCAGTAGCTCGGGGGTGACGGGAGGAGAGGACGGGGCCCTGGTCGGGCCCCCAGCCCGGAGTCGCCAGACTCTCAGTCGGCCGGGCTCCCGGGCGAGACCAGGGCCGGGCAGAGCGGGCGCGGCGGCGGCGGCGGGAGGCCGCGGGAAGAGCGCGCCGGAGGGAGGTGCCGGGAATGGCGGGCGGGGCCCGGGCCGGGGCCGCAGGGCGGGGGCCGCGGGCGGAGGGCGGGCCGGGGGCGGGGGCGGGGGCGCGGGGCGGCCCTTTTCCTCCTCGGAGCCGGACGGGAGGGAGACAAAGCGGCGGCCGTCGGCTTCGGGCCTCGGGAATTCTCTTGCCCTCGTCCCGCTCGCCTCAGGTAACTTCTCGCGGGCGCCGGCGCCCCGCGGGCCGGGCTGCGCGGGCGGCGGACGCGGCCCCTCAGCGACCCCGCCCGGGAGCGGCTCCGGCGGGCGCGGGGGTGGCGTCGGGCCGGCTTCCTCGGCGGGGCCCGGGCCGCGGCCCTGAGCGTCCGGGCGGGCGGGCCCGCGCCCCTGGCGCTCGGGAAGTTGAGGAGCCGCGCGGCGGGAGCGGAGCGAGGCGCGGGCCCGCCCGGCCGCGGCGCTCGCTGTGGGGAAAGTTTCTTCCTGTTTCTAAACTTTGTTCCAGTGAACTCGGCGCCGGCCCGCGGCCCGCCGCGGCCTCCCTGGGAGGGGAGAGGCTGCGCGCTGCTCCCGGGGCGAGCGGCGTCGGGCTGGGGCTTTCTGGTGAGGTGACTGTGGTTTATGGTTTCGGGGGCGCACCCCCTGCCCCCCGCCGCAGCTCCCCGGGCTGCGCGGCCCGTCCCGCCGCGCTCCGGGCCCGAGCGAATGTGAAAGCGGGAAGCCGCCCTTTCTCCGACCCGGCTCTGGGAAGGTGCGCCACGCCCGTGGGGACTTTTGGCGTCTGCCGTGTTAACCTTTGTTGTGAAATTACTCAGATTTCTTGTGTTGGTTAATTGGGCGCACTGGAGGCTGATTAGTTCTCATTTTGCGGAGTGGCGTTGGAGGCTTTTCGTGGTGCTGGTTGACTCTTCAAGTGGACGTGCGGGGGGTGAAGCACTTGTTGGAGGAAAAAATGTTGACTGAATGCCTGACGGCGGCTGGGCGGCAATGGCTTCCCAATAATGCGGGCGGCAGTTGGCTCTAATCCAGGGTGGAGACTCCCACTGAAGTCCTGCATCTTTGTTACACTTTTTATTTGTTTTGTACGGAATTTACAGTAGTTTAGAAAGGAGTAAACTATGTCTCCAACTAAAATTACGTGTTTATGCTGAAGGAAGTGATGTAATCATTTTGTTGTTGCAGGAGGTAGGCTTTTCATGGAAGAGGGTATTTTGTCCAGCTGTGATGCTTAAAGACCGGGGTGTGCTGCTTTGAGAAAATACGACGGTGTAGGGTGTGTTGTTTTGACTAGAGGAATAATGGAGTGATCATATCGTCTGCCCAGTTATTCACTGTTTGACTTAAATATTTTTTAAATTCACTTTCTTAAGGTAGCACAAATGAGTAAGATAGTAGTCTGCCGCTCAGAGATCACCGAGTAATACCCCAGTATGAGCGCTCATACCCCAGTATGAGGTAGACTGTGGTTAAGTGTCTTAACAATACCGATGAGAAACTTTGGTGCGGGCTAAATATTATGTAATACTAAGAATAAAAGACACTGTGGAGCATGGAGAGGGACCTGATAAGTCCAGAAAGGCTTCCGGAGGGTATGGCATTTGAAGGAGATGAACTGGAGTTGGGTTTTGTCAGGGGAGGAGGCATAAAAAATAAATAATCCTAGGGGTTTATGTAACTGATTTAACTCTCTCCTGGTTTTCCTTTTACTTTGGGCTCTTGTTTCTTAGTGTTTCTCCCAAGCACAACCAGCAGTGATCTTCTTAAAAGGGAAATCAAGATCATCACAGTCCCTCAATTTAACTCATCCAAGATTTTACACAACTCCCAGTTCTCCACCTATACATGTGACATTACCCTCACTTCCATGGGTTGCATATCATTTATACAGTGACTTAACCTATCAGGCGGCTTCTCCAAGTAGAGAATGGCTGTTCTGCACAGCCATCTTGTTCTCAAACTTACATGCTGAAGTTCAAGCTTTTATTTTGAGTGCAGATGTTTCATCTGATCCATGGTTACCTGTGCGCTGCAGAGCTGCTTGTGTGTCCATGGGCGCCTTAACTTAATATGCCCCAACTGGAGGGTTTTCTCCTCTACTGACTAGATGTGGAGATAAACTGTAACTAGCAGAGTCCTCCTGGAATTCTTTTGAGAAAGTAACAATTGTGTGAGCCATGAAAGATCTGATAGGTGGGGGTGGTGTTTGGTGTTCTGGTGAAGATGGGGCAGAGGGAACAGAGGCATGCATGTGTAAAGGCCTTCAGACAGGACAGAACTTATGTTTAGACTTAACACCTACATAGCTTGAGTACTCTTGGGATGGGGAGGTCTCTTTGCCAGGGAATGCCAGGTCACCCGTTTGGATTTCATTCTAAAAGCTTTCAGAAGCCATTGTAGGGACTGTGATGATCTTGATTTCCCTTTTAAGAAGATCACTGCTGGTTGTGCTTGGAAGACGTGTATTAGTATACAACTGGAAGTAGTTGAGCTACAAAAATGAAGGGAGCTCTATTTTGGATAAATAAGACTGGACCTTCTGTGCCCTTCCCAGCCCCCTCCATTCTTATCCTTCATTTTCGTGATGCGCTATAATGTATCCCAAGACTCAAGTTAGCATTTTCTGGTAGCAGATCTCACTGGGTGCTGTTCTGTAATTGAGTGTACATTGTATTACACCCTATATTTTGTTACTGATGTTCCTGTCTGCCTTTCCTGCTAGGAAGTGAGCCTGTGAACTCCTTGAAGGCAGGGATAGTTTTATCCTGTAACTTGGTACTTGGTTTGGAGTACAAATGTTGAATGATGGAGGGAAAATGACCTTTTCTGTCTGGAGTCTAGCTTCTGGGTGGAACTATGACCGATAGGCAATAGATTTTGGACAGCTTTGAATACTAACTAGCCATTTTGGACAATTGAGAACCTTGTGCAGATCTAATCAGAGATGAGATCCTCTTCACCTTAAATTCCCTTTTTTATTCTTTCTGCTTCCATTTTAGTTGAGAGTATCTTTGAACTATTAAAAATATTTGTATTTATATATCTTGTTCTTTTGTTTGCTTTTGGTGCCTTTTTCATATTTTTTCATTCTCCTGGAGCACTCTTTTTCTCATCTGACAAAACTCATTTATTAAGCTCCCCTTAGGGTCTCCCCTGGTGGCCAGCGGTTGACCCCTGGGCTGTGAAGCTGCGCAGCCTCTGCAGCGCCAGTTTGATCCCCTGCCGCTGCTGGCAAGGGTCCCACATGGCTTGACAGACCTCTGCTGTCTGGCCCGCTGCTCCCCTCAGCAGTGTATTTAGTCATTCTGCCTGTTCTGTTCCCTGCTCTGGCGAGTTCTCTCACCTTCCCGCACTTCTGACTGTACCCAGTACTTGTATAAATAAATAAATAAATCTTAAAAAAAAAAATTCCCTTAGATGCCACTGTCTCTTGAGTTTTTTCTTGGATCTCAGTGCTACTTACCTAACTTGTACTTATTCTGTGGTTACATTTCATACTGCTTGGTAAATATTTTTATGGGTCACTTCCTCCCAGTTGAACATTTTTAGTGAACTACTAAAGTATAATACACATGTAGAAAAGTGTTCAAATCTTAATACGTGACCGCTCAAGGAATTATTTGTGTGAATTGGATCCATATGCACCATCCAGATACAGAAACAGAAAATTACCAGTACTCCAGAAATCCCTTTGCCTCTTTGCAGTGGCTACCTACCCATACCCCCTCCCGCCCCACCCCAATAATTTTTAAACTGAGGATCCAGAAAATTATGGTTGCTCAATAGTGTTTCCCAACGCTAGTTGAATTTCTATCTTCCCTCCTTCCACCATCTGGTCTTTTACATAAAAGCAAAGCTTATTCTCATTTGAGAAACTTATTTTGTTAGTTCCTTGCTTTGGTCTGACATTTATTTATTTTTAAGGTTTTTGTTTATTCATATAAGAACTGGGGTGCAGGCCAGAGGTGTGTGTGTGGGGGGAGAATTCACCAGAGACAGAGTGGGGAACCAAACAGGCAGATTGATTGAAATACACTGCTGAGGGGAACAGCGGGGTGAGACAGGAGAGGTCTGCCTTGCCATGTGGGGTCTGCCTTGCCATTTGGGTAGCTCCCTGGCCAGGGAGCTGTAGTGGCTGCCTATAACTTCATAGTGCTGAGACTTAACCCCTTGCACCACCAGGGAGGCCCTGGTTTGACTTTTAGATTGGTAGTCAAAGCTTAGTTCTTACCCTAACTTAATTTTTTCAAGCCTTTTTTTTTTTTTTTTTTTTTTTACTGTAATAGTTCCTTATATGTCCTTGAATCTTTTGACATTTATACTGGAATGCCTCCTCTAACTCTGACCAAAATGCTATCATTTTTATTTTATCCTGCTTTTTTCATTGAAACATCATTACTGTTTTTTGAAATTCATATATATATATAATTGTTCTTTTTTAAACAATGTTTGCTTCCCCCCTCCCTTCAGATATAGTCCCCATAGAATTTCCTTTACCACTTCACCTGTGCACCATCAACACAGTCCCCTAAACTCCTCCGCCCCCCTCCCCTGCAGGAGAAACCTCATTACTATTGCTGAAAGTGATCTTTAATTTACCTGAACTTTTAAAACTTGCACTTGATTATACATTCTTAGTATCCTTTGTGGGGAGATGTGTGTATAAAATATATACAATAAAATATGCATTGCATAATACACATAATAAAATACACCGCTGGAACTTTTTTTTTAAAAAGATTTATTTTTTATTTATACACTAGCTGGGGCACAGGCCAGAGGCACAGGAGGGTGAGAGGGTTCACTAGAGACAGAGTGGGGAGCAGAACAGGCAGACAGACTGAAAGCACTGTTGAGGGGAGCAGCGGGTGTGACAGGAGAGGTCTGCCGTGCCATGTGGGAATCTCCCTGCCTGGCCGGGAATCAAATCCGTGCTGCAGAGGCT